TTCTCTCTAATTATTTTGAGTTGATAATTTTTCTTTTGTACTAGATCAGGTGCAAACAAGATTGTTTCTACAGTCTTATGCCAACACAAGGGCATTCTGCATTTCTTCCCATACAACGCTTTGTATGATGTCATTCCAATACTAACATGATAACTATTATTGTATGTGAATTCTACCAAAGGTAGACATTCATCCCAAACTTCTTGTTGTTCTATCATGCAAGTTCATAACAAATCTTTTAGAGATTGAATGGTTCATTTGGTTTATCCATTAGTTTGGGGATGATATGTTGAACTAAGCTTCAATCTTATTCCCAAGGCTCTCTACAAACTTTTTCAAAATTTTGATGTAAATCTTGTGTCTCAATCTAATACAATGTTCAAAGGTAATCCATGCAGTCTAACAATCTCTTTGATATACAATTCTATAAGTTTCTCCAACTTGTATCTTATGTTGATCGGAAAAAATGTGCAGTCTTTGTCAATCAATCTACAATCACTCATACTACATCATGGTTGTGCTTAGTCCTTGGTAAACTGGATACAAAATTCATTGAGATGTTGTCTCACTTCTACTCAAGAATTTTCAATGTTTACAATTCTCTAGTATACATTGATACTCTGCTTTAGACTTCTAACAAGTTAAGCATTTTGTAACATACTCTACTACCTCTTTCTTCATCCCATACCACCAAAAGCTTCCTCGCAAATCTTGATACATTTTTGTTGCTCCTAGATGAAAACTCAATTTACTCTTATGTGCCTCCTCCAGTATTAACTACTTCAACTTTTCACTTTGAGGGATACACACTCTATCTTGGAATCTTATATCAATCCATTCGCATCACAACGAAACTCCAAATCCTTGCCTTCATTTTTCTATCATATCATTTCTTGTAAATATTGGTCTTCTTGTTCTGCAGCTTGAACTTGAGTCAAGAAATCGTTGCTAATCTTCAAAACCTCTAGGTACAAGCTTTTAAGTTGTACTTCCACTGCCAAATTCAAATTCCTAAATTTTTCAATCAGCTTCCACTCTTTCATCATCATCATCGAAATATGCAGAGAAGTACATAATTATACATATATAAGCAAAAAGTGTATATAGCATTTTAATGATGGGATAGAACTCTCCTTACCTCAAGTAAATGATTCACATAAAGTTTTGTGGAAGATATCGTTTGAAAGATCAAGTCCTCCTTAAGTATTATGAAGTGGAGTAACTTTTGAGAAGGAAGAAAATGATGAAACAGAAATGAGATTGGAAGATTAGTTCTAAGAAACTTACTTGAAATCACATGAAAAAGATAGCCAAGCTCGGATTCGAAAGAAGTTTGGAGTTACTTAAGGTGTTTTAGTTGTGGAAGGGGAAGTGAGAGATCAAAGGGTGAAATGAGAATGGTTACTTGCCTTGTGCTTTTAGTTTTAAAACATCAAGTTACTTAAATACCCTTTTCTACTCGCGAATTCTCGCTTGAACAAGAGCATTCTAGCTTAAGTGAGACAACCAGACAGAAATTTCTACACATTTGTTAATAATCTCGCTTGAGCGAGACCATTCTGTCATGAGCGAGACAGGTTCACTTGAGCGCGACTTGATATTCCAAAGAGCTCTTAATTTGCCGCCCTTTCTTGCCTAAGCAAAAGGATAGTTGATAATTTCTTATCAATTCTCGCTTGAGGGAGTACTATCTCGCCTGAGCGAGAATGCTCCATAGATGTCCCTTCCAGATTAGTCGATCTCACTTGAACAAGACATTTCTCTCTTGAATGAGAAATACTATACTTTCAAAAATAAAAACTCTTTCATTTTGAAAACAAAGTGAAATAATAAAAAAAATAAAAATGAATAAAATAAAATATAAAAATAGGGTGTTACACTTGTTTGGCCATTCAAAGCATTCAAATCCCCTCTTGGGACGAACTCTAGGCAAGGACGGTGGAGAGGAGGAATGTTCTCAAGCAGTTTCTGATTGGTGCCTTCATTAGGATTGACGCGAGGAGAAGGGAATGACTCTGAAATGCCAAAAGAGATCCCGCAAAGGAGTGATTTCAGAGGAGTAGTAGGAGAACTTGTGGCAGAACTACCATAAGAGCTTGTGGTGTTTGAGCCATCGCCAGAATGTGGAGTCTTGGTACATGCCATGAGAAAGGAAGAAAGGGTGAATGTAAATGACAAGAAGAAGAAAAGGTGTGTAAGGGAAAATGATGGGGAAGTGGAGAGTTTTAATGGTCAAATATTATAATGGCTAGGGAGTTTTGTAATGCCTAACTTTTTGTAATATTAATTATTATTATTATTATTATTATATATAAATGGATGTTGGAATGTACCCTTGAGTGTGTGATGAATATTGAATGATGTATGTATGAATGCGTATAGATAAATACGCAATTGTAAGAGTGTATATATATATACACATATATTATCATCACCATATATATATATATATATATATATATATATATATATATATATATGGTGATGATAATATATGTGTATGTTTGGGGTTAGACTGAAATTTGGCTAAGTGTTTTGGTGCGGGGTGTTCTCACTGCAGCGAGAGGGCCTTGGGAGGAAAGCATGAAATTGTCGCCTTGTCGCTGTAGCGAGAGTGTCTCACTGTAGCGACAAAACAACAGTTTTGGTACATTTCTGGGTGCAGTCTCGCTGTAGCGAGAATCTGCAGAAACCAAGGTGCAGTTTTCTCTGATATTTTTATTGTAGCGACAGGGGGCGTCACGGCAACGACAAATGTCTTGCTGCAGTGAGTGTCTCGCTGTAGCGAGAGTGTCGCGAGCAGAGGGGTATTTGAACGGGTTAGGGTTGGGAAAATTCATTTCCCATCTTCCATCTTCAAAATTTCTTCGATCCTCTCAATCCCAAACCCAATTCCACCGATTAAATTACCTTTAAAGTGGTTCATGCTTTAGATTGAAGGTTGAATCTGTGTTGGGGACGCTTGGAGGTGAGTTTTAATGGTTAAGATTTTGATTTTTGTCCCTCTTCTCTATTTTCTAGGTTCCCTTTGAGTTCTCATGGAGTTTTCCATGTGTTCTAAGGACAAAATTTGTGTGGAGAACGTTTTCTACCATTGTTTGTGCGTGGGTCTTTAATTTGAGGTAAAGGGAAACTCTACCCTATCTCATTTTTGTTAGATTTTGTTTAATTGCTATATATGACCATGTGATTGAGATAAGAGGTCAAAATATGTGTGATTTGATAGGAATTCCATGTTAAATATGTTGAAATAAACATTGAATGATGGTTTTGATAAAGTAATTTGATTGTGGTTGGGTTGTCATGCTCTTGATTTATGAATGTGGATTATGCTAAATGTTGTGGATATTTGTGCCGTGTATTGTGCATGAATATGGGCATCTATGCTGTGTAACATGAATGAATATAGGCTAGAGTGCCGTGTACAAATATGAATATTGTGTGAATGGGGCATGTTAAATGTCGTTGCAACAATGCTATGAATGGTTCAGCGAAACACTGGAGGTGTGGAAGATAGGGACGGTAGAGATACCTTAGGGAAGAGAGAGTGGTGGTGACACCAACAGCAAGCGTGGGTACACCATAGGGCACACACTCTCCTCTTGACTAGACCTCTGACCACCACCTTTGCCGAGCAACTCGTGACTGCCCATGCGGTATCCGTGAGGCGGGGGTAACTAGCGACTGTTCATGGTGTAAATTTGTTATTACGATGCCACATTGAGCGTAGCTGCGTGCGGTGAGTGCACGATTGTAAAATGTTTTGGTGCCGTGAGTGCATTGGTCATGAATTGAAATAAAATGCTTAAAAATGTTGCTTGTGATTAACTTTACTTGTATGACTGCGTTAGAAACTATGTGAAGGATAACCGAGGTAAGTCTCTATGTTTGTGTGTTAGATAGTGTAGAGTACTCACCTTTACATTTACTTTTCAGGTGAAGAAGACCAGCACCAGATTCAGTGAAAGAATGGATGAGATTGTTATAGGCCTCTAATTTTATTTTGAAATTTTAATGTATTTGAACTAGTTCTATGACAGTTTCCTTGATCAAAATTTGTAAACACTTATTATTCAAAATATTTTGTTGAACCGCGGGTTAGAAAAACCTATTTAAAAATAAAATTTTATTATTTCTATTTTACAAAATTAATATTTTGAAATTAAATTTAAGGCGTTACTAGTTTGAAATTCAAATAAAGAGAGAGAAAAAGATTATTGCACAATGCGAAAAAGGAAGTTTTCAGCACACATTCTTTAAGATGAAGTCACTCATACATCTTAAATTTTAGAGAAATTAAATATTCTTGAATATATAATTTAATAATTAATAGTTATATATATTTTAAAAATGGATCATATGACTTTATTAATAAAATTATTTTAGATCTTTTTTACTATTATATGTCAAATTAAAAGTTATATGATTTATTCTCTCTAACTGTGTCACTAAATATCTTTTTCAAACGTGATCAAATTATTTAAAGTAATTTTCAATCAATTTATTTATTTATTTATTTTATCTTTTTTTCCTATAATCATTCTTTCACTTTAACATTTTTATTTATATTCAAAACTTAAAGTATTATAAATAACTCTTAGTAACTTTCTTTTACTTTAACCATTCATTTCGTAAACCTACAACTTAAAGTTATTAAAAGAAATATTAAATTATTTTTAAAATTTATAAAATTTTATATACTTAATTTACTCATTAAGTAAATTTAAATTAATAAATTTTATTGTTCAGATAAGTTAATCGAAACTTAATCGTGAAGTAATATATATATATATATTGAGCAGTGTATACATGAAACTTAAAAAAAAAAAAAAAAAAAAAAAGAGAACGCATATATATATATTAAAAAGTAGAAAATCCCCGTGAAATTCATGGTGACAGGACACGTAATAATTCAGTCATCTTGGAAATTAATCAACATTATAAACTTTACATCAAAACAAAATGCTACTGAAAAAAACAATCAAACTCAAATTTCCTTATTAGCCATCCTTAGTTTCTGTTTTTCCACGCATGAAAAATGCTGGCTCTTGAGGTAAAGGCAGATCAACCAGATCACAGTCAAAATACAAAGCAATTGTTGCCATGACAGGCCTCTGATCTGGGTTTCCTTGGACACATAGAAGACCAATTTGTAAGCATCTTGTGATTTCTGATTCAGAAGATGAGTGTTCTAATGTTGGGTCCAACAATTCAAATGGTTTATTTTCTCTCCACTTCTTCCAAGCCTGCAATCAGATTTTCAAATACATGCTATTTTTTTCTCTTTACTTAATATGGAAATTGTTAAATTTCACCCAAATTGGAACTGATAATATGATACTCACATGGCTCAAGAGGTCATCACAATCTACCCCACTAGAATCAACATTTCTCTTTCCACTAACAATCTCAAGAATTATTACTCCAAAGCTGAATACATCAGATTTCACCGAAAATTGGCCAAGCATTGCATATTCAGGAGACATGTAACCGCTACAAGGCAACAAACAATGCAAAAGCTCATAATAGGGGTGAAGAAATGAATTTAAATCATGTCATATTGTTGAATAATATAATATGGTTGAGCTAGAAAAGAAAGACATTGTTTAGTAGATTTTACAACCAGTCATGGTTGATCCTTTTTTGATTTGTCATTTTCTCAATAACTTTATCATATCATGTTATTTAACAACATGAGAGGATTCAAATTCATAAAAAATAAAATAAAAATTATGTCATTGTTATTATTATAATCCAAAACCAAAAATTCCGTTGTGTTTGAGGAAAAAGTTTTTAAGCGTCAAAACTTACTATGTCCCAGCAATTATGCTGGTGTTTCCTTGCATTTGATCAATGGCAACAATCCTTGCCAAGCCAAAATCTGATATCTTTGCATTCATTCTGTTGTCTAACAAAATATTGCTAGGTTTGAGATCGCAGTGTATGATGTTGAGATGAGAATCCTCGTGAAGATAAAGAATTCCTCGTGCAATTCCCCTTATGATCTTGTATCGTTCAGACCAAGTTGATTTTCTATGGTTTTCAGGGCCTATAATGTTTAAATTGTCACAAGTTGCTCAAACTATATAGAAAGAAAAAAAAAAAAAGGAAAAAAAATGCTTTACTTTCATGATCAGTCAAATGCTTAAAACATTTCAAGGAGTAAAAAGAAGACTGAAGACACAAACACACAAAAAGGTCAGAAGTACCATACTGAATAGGTAGTAATCAAGGCTTTTGTTGTGCACAAATTCATAAATGAGTATCTTCTCATTCTTTTCCATGCAAAACCCTAACAGTCTCACAAGATTTCTGTGTTGAAGCTTGGAAATCAGCAAAACCTCTTTCTTGAATTCCATAGATCCTTGACTAGAATTTCTTCTGAGCCTCTTTACTGCTATTTCATGTCCATTAGGAAACATACCCTATAATATAAATACCATAAATAAAAATTTTATTGAACATTACAACAAAATTTCTTCTTTATAGTTTAACACTAGACATAAATTCATAACCTTGTAAACTGCTCCAAAACCACCTTCCCCTATCTTGTTATCATCAGAAAACTTGTTAGTTGCTTCTTGAATAGTCCTCAAATCAAATTGCAAAGAGTTCATTTCTGTTGTAATCTCATCCCCATCTAGACCAAAAATGTTAAAAATTAATAAATCACTTAAGTAAAGATACGTATCTTCTCTAGTAAACTTATTGAAACAGTGATGTTAAAGATCAGAAAAGAAGTTTTTTTTTTTTTTATTTCCACATTACAATTTTCTTTTGGATTCTTGGGATTGCTCTTTGACTCCCTATGTAGCACATAGCACCCAAAAAAGAAAATCATGACTGGAACAAGTGCATGAAAAATTATGATTGATGCTATTGCTCCAAGATTCTTTCTTTTCCCTGCAATAGAGATTAGTAGTAACTCAATTTACAAGAAATAGTGCATGTTTGGAAACAGATTATTTTTGATAGATAATCACTTTTTTTCTCCAAATTTTTCAGAAAACTGATAAAAGTAAGCTATTAGTTTTTTCAAATAAGCTAAATCAAATTAACACACGTGATTAAATTGTGATCTTATTCAATGGAAAATGGTCAAACCTCTAGGAAGTGGAAAAAACAGATAAGGATCATATCTAACAATACAACTAGGATATAGAACTCTTCCTCCTATCTTTCCTCTAGCACATGATGTTTGAAGATAATCCATGGCATCCCTGAGGCACTTTTTGCATATATCCTTAGAAAGGTTTGGGGTGCACTGAGCAAAGCCAAATAAATGCTTGTCCTCAGAGATAGTTGCTTTCTTCACAGCAAATTTATTAGAACCCATTGGAGCTTCACTGGCTTGAGTTAGAAGATCCTCCATCAAGGACTTTAGTACTTCATTGAAACTATCCAATAGGCCTTGATAATCCTCAGTGTTCTTCATACAGTATGATGGCCATTCCTCCATAGTGTTAAAGAAAAACCGGTTTGAGTAACGAATCATGCACTCATCACTCCAAATTATGCCTTCTTTATTGAAGGCACACTTTGATTTAAGGATCTTGATGGATTTCCTCACACATTGTCCACATTGATCTACGTATCCACTACACATAAAGAGGCCATAGATAGTGTCATGTTTGTTTGTTCCACTTATTGTGCTATTGTAGAAGACTTGGTTGGTGCTGTCACAAGCCTTGGATGAAAGTGTAGACAAGAGTTTCTTTAAGTTGAATTGGTAAGTGCTTTTAGGAGTAAACTTACCCTTGCTTGTGCAGTTGTAATGACTGAAAGTTGAGGATGTTTCAGTTGGTGAAAAGATAAGTAAACCCAGTATGTAGAACAGAAGAATTGAGAGCGATTTCAAACAAATCAAAGAAGGCATGCTTTGGGAGATTCTATTTGCTTAATGTTTTACAATTGTGCTATGTATAACATGCAACTGTAGGATTTTATCTTCAATTAAAGTAACTGCATTGAATTAAGTTATTATTTTAGTATGAAGAAGCTATATGCAAAGTTATATAAGTAATAAAAAGGAAAAGTTAAATATTTGGAATCTACTAATCTAGGTGTTTGTTTACATTCTGTGTCTTCAGTGAGAGTGACCCAATTAAAATGTTAAAGCATCGTTTCATTTCTCTTATTTTATTTTGAAACATTTATATAACAACAATGTATTAGCATTATGCTTTTGCCAATATGGTGTGGTAAAGAAGAATAATTTGGATGGCTAAGGGTTCAAGTTTATATAGTTATGCATGAAGTTTGGTACAACCCTTTTCTTATGGAATTCTGATGATAATTAAGAACAAGAAAACATTGTTGTAAACACTAAAAAAGTGTAGCATGCACGCAATAAAGCAACTCTACTTCAACAACGAGCTAGGCTCCGGACTAGCTTATTCTTCTTTTCCCAGCTGATGAAAGAGTTTCTTTGTTGGTATATACCCAATTATATTTAACAGACTCAAATATGTTTTTAATTTTTATATATTTGTGTAAGATTTTAATTTTAGTATCCTAAGAATTTGTTTTTATTTTTAACTTTTAAAATTTAATACTTTTGATCCTTAATGTAATTATTGGAGACTCAAACCATAAATAAATGACATTTGAGGCTAAATAAAAAGGTAAATTCTATGGTACTCTAGGAATTGATAGAGTATTCTATGCTCTTTTATAGGTTATAGGTGGAACAATCATGATATTTTAACCGTAAAGTTAGTGGCTTATTTAAAAAGTACGTAAAAATCTTTTAATATCTTAGTATAATTTAGAGAGAGTATTTAATGTTTTTCAAGTTTAGAAGTACCATAGTAAATAAAAAACAAAATTAACATGTAACATAAAAGAATGACATATGATAATATTTTAATTAAACATATTATCATTAAGAAGAAAAGTAATGAATTTTGAAATATTAGAGACTGAAATCATGAAAAGAGTTACAAATTAAAATTAAATTTTTACAAATATATAAGAACTAAAAACATATATTTAGGGTACTTTGTCCCTTATGAGTGTTCTTTCTTGAAAGTTTTGAGGTTTGTGTCAACATTTGATTCGTGTAATTGCCATTGTGCTTGGATGTTCTTTGAGATATTAGAGAAGCGGCAGCACTAATTAGTTGCACTAATGATTTCATCAGAGAAAGGAATAAACTAAATTAGAATTAGTAGAAATTTAATTTTATATCACCTTCTAGTTTAGGTTAATGTTAATGCACCCAGGTAATACTACGTTAATTTAATGCATCATGTCACAATAGCCGAAGAAATTAATCTCCTTGAAAATCATTACAATTAATTAATAAGAAAATGGTAGCCCCTCGCAGTAACAAAAATGCACGAATTTTGATTAAACACAAAAGTCAATGGCCATCAGGGTAAGTATTGGCGTAAATTTTCAAGAATAAATCAACTAACCATTCGTGAGACCAAATGGTGGTAGAGTTCAAATATATTATTATACTGTATAACTTATAATTTATTTATTTTTTTCCTTCAAAAATTTTTAATTATTTTTATTCGATCCTAGCATATATATAAAAGAGTTTAATTTTTTTTCCTATCCAATTTAATCCGGATTCAACCGAGTCCTACACCTAAATATGATCACTGAAAATTTTTTTACAAACACAAAAACTCGAACTTAAGACTTTATTTAAGATATACCGAACTACTTGCTACTCGGATTAACCTTCGTTAATGAGTTTAACTTCAATTAATCAAACTTCTCAAATTAGTACTTATAAATGTAAATAACTAGTCTTATTGGATTGAAGTTGAGGTTAGGCTCATCAATATTAATTATATGCATAATACTTTATTATCTTCAACGTCATCACTCTGTCATTTGCTCCCAAATTCAAGATTTGTACCGATCTTCATAAAGATGTATTAGAGAATTAATTGGTTAAACATCTTTTGAGTAGGTTATAAATTTAAATATATTTTGCCTCTATTGAGCAACATTTGCTTTTGTTCTAAAACAGCAATGAAGCAACTCAAAAAAGAAAAGAAACTTTCGTCGACTAGGTCTTCTTTTGGACCAGTCACACCAAAAGGGGTCTTAAGATTTTGTTGGTAAACACTTGCTATATGATTTTCAACTACATATATTTAGAATACTTTGTTTTATACTTTTTACTTAATTTTATCAACAAAACTTTTATGCCTTAAATAAGGTTGAGACCACTGTAAATAAAATAGAGAAATTATAAGCGGCACTGAACCTAAGTCCATGGAAGATAATTTGAAGAAAAAATTCTTAGTTATTTAGAGTATGTTTAATTACTGTTTTTAAAAAAGAAAAACAAACACTTTCAATTTTGTAAGTTCTTATATACAATTATTCTGATTTTTTTTAACGATAAAATATTGAAAAAGAAAATTATACATGTGAGTTAGGGACTATAACCTTTTATTTATAATATTCAAATACTCTTTTATGGATAATAGTATTTTTTGAACCTTACATCATTTTATGAAAATTATAATTGTTAAACTTTTTTATTTTTAATTTGACCATCATCAAAATATAGTATAGAAACATAATAAAATTCATACCAATTTCAATCAATTTATCCTTATAAACTTTAACAGCGATAAGATAACATATAATACATTATTAATAATATAAGTCAAGATTAATTAATATTAATATTGAGTGTTAAACTTAAATACTTACATAGTTTAATAACTTTTTATAAAATGAAAGATTGATCAATCTAACTTTTGGTTTCAAAATTCTTATTAAAAAGATCAAGTTTATAAAATTTCATAAAAAATAAAATTAATAGACACTTTATTACATTATTTTATTTAACAGATATTATATTTTTAAAATATAGATGAATATTAAATTTTATATAACATACCTACAAATTTTTAAATTATGTGAAATCTAATATAAATAATTATGAAAATACTATAAAATAATTTTACAATTGAATTTATCAAACTTACAAAAAGTTATTATGATGAATAAGTATATAAATTTTAAAGCTGCTATCTAACTCATACTATACAGAGGCCCACATGTTAGAATAAATATATATATATTAGTAGTGTATTAAAATAAGTTTTTATTAAAAAAAATAGCTGACATAATTTAAATATATGTGATCAATTTGAGTTAATCTTTCTTTAAGAGAAGAAAAACCATTTGCTAAGAAAGCAACAAACAATTAATTTTGTGAACCTGTTTCAATGACTATTAATATTGTGATTGAAACATAAATAAATAAAAAGATGAAGCATATTGCACATTTTTATTTTATTCTCCAATTAAACCTTCTAATTTGTTGTTTTCTTGCATATGATGGTGTTTTAAAATTAGTTGAAGGAAAATAGTGGATATAATTATGTGTAAGTAATTTAGTTTTTGTTTGGTGGCAAGATAATATGACAAAATATGATAACTATATTTTTTTATTTATTGATTAATAAAATTTGATAGTCATCCTGTTTAATTACTGTAAAGAATTATTTTAATCATAAAATATAATTTTAAATTTTATAATTTTTTGTTTTAATTATTATTGCTTACTTAAAATAAATTTTAATTATGAAAAAATGAAAAAGTATTATAATTTAATATCAAATTTTAATATCATATGTACATAAAAATATTATTAAAGTCAAATAATTAAATAAAAAATTATTTTAAACAGTTATATTAATTTTAATAAAATAATAATTTTATTATTTAAATATAATTGATATTTTATTATATTATATTTTATTTATCTTAAATATAAAAAAATGATATAATATTATTTGTCTTGTTATCTTAACATACGTCAAACATAAAATATGATAAAAATTTATTTTTCTCTTATTATATATTATTTTTTAAAAAGCTCTTGCATCTTAGTAATTTTTATCATGACTAAACGTTCGTGCAGAACAATGATAATTTACATGGAGGTTAAAATGACAAAAAAGAAAAAAGAAAAAAATTATTACAACGATCAATATTTTACATTGCATATTTGAAAATCCAATTTTGTATCTTTAATTAAAAAAAAAAAAAGCATATAACTTTACTACAAATGAATACAAACATTAAGTAATGAGGCACAAGTGTAGATTACAATTCACAAAACATGTTCGTTCGTAACTTTTTTAGTACTTAACACTATGTCTATGTTATTTAAAGCATCTTTTGCTGCTCGACTTATTGCAATTTGTTTCTTAGTACCATAAATGCCTGTTCCAACCAACTTTTCATCTATAATAACATTGAAGGACATCGAATCCTTCCACAAATCAACAAATTTTATCTTCAGATTTTGTTTCTGACACACTTCATAAAGCTGTGTCACTGGATGCTTTTGTATGTTGCCTGGATCAATCATTGGTTCTAGCAAAGTTTTGAAAACCTGTCCCAAAATTTAGATAACAGAGGAAGAGTGAGTGATAAAATCGATGAATAAAGAAAAACAATTTAATGAATTATATTCAACTGGGTCGTGTCATAAGTTACTTAAAAGAGAGAGCAACACATTATCTTATACATACTTGTCAACACATTATTTTGCAATGTGTTTATTATTTAAAATGTTAAAATAATTTTTAGGATGTGATCAATTTATGAGATAATTATTTTAAATATTTTAAAAAATTAATCGATTATAAAGAGTGTGCTAAAAATTAATTGTATTGCTCATATTTTAATATTCCAACAATATTACAATAATTTATGAGAGACATTAGAACTATTTATAATATTATTTATCAAAAGATTATGTAACAATCGTGCTAACTAATTCAAGATTATTTACAAAAGTATTTGCAACAGTTAAGTGATAATGACACTGAAATGATGCTATACAAATGACAACGAAGCAAATTATATCTCTTAAAAAGTTAAACAATGCATTTGATCACTCAATTTAAGATGTTTATCAGAGAAAGTCAAATATTCAATGTAAATTTGTTCGTCCATCATCATCCAATTATATTGTCATATTATAAAAAGGAAGAGCTTAAATTTTATTAAATAATGTTTATCATAATCATATTAAAAATTTGTGCAACTTGAATTAATGCAAAAATTAATAAAATTACTTTGACTACAAATAAAAACAGAAAACATTTATGTATTATAATATAGATAAAATCTACTATAGTCGTAATTGAGAGGGTAACGAAATAACGATCATTAATTTTATATTAACATATAACAAAATTAGTGATTTAATTAAAAAATATTAATATTCTCTCATCTTTAAAATATTAAAAAAAATTACAGCCTTTAATATAAAGAGAATATAAAATAATATTCTCTCGAGATTATGACTGCCAAAGCAAATACATTACATGTATTATTATTTTGTCAAAATAATTTAATTTTTTTAATATTCACTTAAATTATTAATATATGAAAAATTAAGTCATACCTTCCATACAACGTCAACAGAGGAACCACAATCAATAAAGACGGCACCAATGGTGGACTCAACGATATCAGCTAAATTCTTTGGCACGTCAATTAGCCCATTAGAATGCAAAGGATATTCTGCAATACCCTTTATGAATTCCTGAATCTGTAATCAAAAGAGAAGCACAGTTATAATTGCAATCAAAATATGTGGTTCTAAGGAATGCCAGAAATGTTGAGATAGCTCAGCACCGACCCTTTGACCATCCTTCATTTCTTATTATCATTTTCTCAACCATGTCAAAGTCAAAGCACTTCAAGCCAAAAGTTTAGGTATGCCTTATGCATGCTTTTCCATCAACTGGCAATCATAGAACAACGTTTTCTAGTATATGCTCATATTTTTATATCACAATTGGTTCTCGAGAGAGTTGAATATTTAAAATCAAAGAAAAAACGATGAGTTAATTGTGCGCAATGGAACCAGTCAGCTAGGGAGGCGAAAACTAAAATGTTATGATATTTAATAAAATGTTAATCAATATTTTTAAAAATACTGATTAAAGGATAAAAAAATGAAAATATTCTATTGAAAAATATTAAAAATATACTCGGTCTCATTTTTTTAATACATTTCAACATAAATTTTAACAAAAAATTACATTTATTAATTCCTTAACTAACATCCTTAAAACATTATTTAGAAACAGTCGTTTAATAATAGAAAAGTCTACTGTTGCCGTTGGGCAGATATATTGAATGCAGCATGCTGCAATGCAAGCACCATGTAATCCATATCACAATCATAGATATGATAAACATCATTAATATGACAATAACAAGACAACATCATTGAAAACAAGGCAGATGCATGCAGTTAATGAACCATTAGCCCCTTCCCCTAACCATTATTTTTAAAATATAAATTAACATATTTATATAAATTTAATATATTAATAATATATTTATCATTATAAATAATATATAATTATTTTAATTTAAAATTAAAAAATATATTCTCTCCTCGTAGTATATTTTTACGCCACAAATTTTAATTGCGATTAATATTAGAGATTTCCTCGTCAAAGCTTAGGGTAAAACGTTGTTTATTTCTCATGTCACACGCCTTTTCGTATAGCCAAAAAGTCCTCATACCTACTACTACTAATAATAAATCATTAAACGAAACTTGCTTCTTTCAAACGCTGACGCGCGATTTCATTTTACATTTCTTATATTTTAAATTTTTCCAATAATAATTATACTAACTAACAACATTGTTATATCGATTAAATACTTCCTAGCTTCCATATCTTTTATTATTTAAGGTTATATATGATGATTAAGAAATGTCTAATTAATATATAACTTTATCATATTTTGACTAATATATAATTTTTTCTCTATTAAAAAAGAAATTTGCAAATGAAAAATACAATTATAGCAGTTAAATTGAAATAATTATTCATAACATTAACTAAGCACATAATTTAAAAAATCAAATTAATCTTAAATTTTAAAAATAATTTTCACTATCTTTCTATGGTAACTGCTGTAACATGATTTAATTCTTCAAATTTTTAAAGAATATAAATAAAAAAAAATTTATCGATTGAATGTGTTAAAAATCATATAAAAGTTTAGTATTATTAGTTTTTAATGAAAGAAATTACTCTTGATTTCTTAATTAATAATTTTAAAATGCTATTAGTTAGCATTCCTTATCAAATTTAAAAAAAGTTATATGTCCAAAAAATGCTAAAATTTTTGAAAAATTAAAATAATTTACATTCTAAAAATATATTTTTTTAAATACATTCTTATTTATTAGTTAAATTTATCAAAAATTATTTAAAAAAAAGAAAAAACAGTACTCACTTTTTCTTGAAGGCGAGGCTTCTTGTGGCGCAGATAGCGATGAAGGCCGTGTTTGATGGCCACACGTGCGAGCTTTTCGGTGTCGACGTTTGCAGCGCGTAGCAGCGTCAAGTCACCGGGAGCGAGATCCGTGTAGGTTGAAAAGTGCTCCTTGGTGACCAACAAGTTGAGCACTGCGTCACCCACATACTCCAAACGCTCATAGCTGAAGCACTTTTCCCCAACGTACGTTGAGTGCGTAAACGCCTCTTCCAATAACCCCTTATTCTTGAACTCGTATCCCAATATCGCTTCCACCTCTTCCAAACCCTCCTTCGTCCACTTCTCTTCTCCCTGCTTTCCAGAATCTTCCATTGATGTTGAGTTTTCAGAGGGCTTCGTTGCCACCCCCACAATGTTCAACTTCATATATATAAGAAGGAAAGGGACGTGCAATTTATTATCTGATTTTTTAATCATTCATTTTGATATTGTTTTTAAATGCTTTTTTGGATTGTGGTGATTTGTTATTCCTCATATTTAACTATCTTATGCTTTTTTTGTGGATTAATTATAATTACTTCCCAGATCGGAGCGTTATTATTTTAAATTGTTTCGGATTCTCTCTTGATATTATCTCCTTCCCAATTATTTTACTGTGAAAGGGAGGAAAGTGCAACGAGGAAATCTTTATGGATTATGATATTTCTTGAAATTATCGATTTCCTTTGGTAGATATGCTTTTGGTTATTGAATTAGTATTAACCTACTCACATATAAAGAAATTTATGACTTTAATATTAATTATTATAAAAGTTAATAGTTATATTTATTTTTAAATATTTAAATTCAAAATATATTATCTTTTATCACTTTTTTATTTTTTATAATTATTTTTAATATGTATATATAAAAACCGTTAAATAATATTAAGTCTCAATTTCAGTATATTTTATTTTTAATTACTTTTTATTTAGGATAAATTTTATACCACACTTACAAAATGCTTACGTTTACTTTAATTTAAAGGAGACAAGTCTTACTCTGCTTGATTAATTTTGGGATCTAAATTCGTTTAACAAAAAGTGATTTTATTTAAATTAAATAAATTTGATAAATAAATTATTTTTATTTAAGTTAAAAAAATTAGCTTACACTTAAATTGTAAAAAATTTTAAATTTTTTTTTCTTTAAACTACAAAAAATTTAAAGAACTTCTGTTTCTCACTAATAATTATTTAGTTATCAAAGACTTTTATATATATTATCTTATTAAATATTTTAAATTTATTATTCGGTCTGCTAATTATATTAAATATTAGTGAAGTAAAAAAATTTATAATTAAATTAAATTGTTGATAATAATAAAATTATAAAATGAATTTTAAAAAATTAGTTAAAAAATAATTTTAATATTAAATATTCTAATATTCTTAAATTTTTATTATATGATCATAAAAAATAATCACATAATCTTACACAAAAGCTTTTTAAATTTTCTATAATTTTAAAAAAAGATAAAATTTAAAAAAATTTACAATTTTAACTTAAATGATTTATTTTAGTTTATGCAAAAATTATTTTATTTTTATCAAACTTATATAATCAAATTTAAACTGCTAGTTACAGTTTCGGCTTAAATTACAAAAATCTAATTTTTAATTTTAATTATATTATTAGTTTTTATAAAAATAATACTTTTCAAAATCAATTCTTAAGTCAGAGATGAAATGAGTAATAAAAATAAGTTGATCTTATATAAAAAATAATATTTACAAGGATTTAATTTTTCGGCGTGCTTTCTCTTCTTTTCCGACATCTAACAACAGACGTATCAGTCTTGTAAAAAGGATCCAATCTCACCAACGTGTGGAGCCCACACAACAATGTTCATACGCTTCTGAAGATAAACAAAATCCCCAACCTCACGCATTAGCTTCACGATCATCTTCTTCGGCATCTTCCCCGCACCCTCACACCACAACCTATCAACCCTCAAACCATTAAACGATGCCGTATAGCTCCCAATCAAACAAGTACGTGGTGCGGAGAGGAGAATTCCAAATCTCATCTAAGCGGTTGGAATCAAAAGAAGGTTCAATTAGTGTTTCAGAATTTGTGACGAGAGGCAGTGGTTGGAGGCCGGAGAAGACCAATTTTTCATTCAAAAAGAGGTGTTAGAAGGACACATTTTTGGATACATGTTTTGTATTAGAATTGGAAAAGAAGGGTTTTGAGGTTGGTGGTGGCTTTGGGAGGATGAGAGAAAGATCCAAGAAGATAACTTAATTATTAAGTTTTTAAAATAGTATAAATTTTTTAGAATTTTTTTTAATATTAATTTTTAAATAATAAAATATTTTTGGAAACGATGACATATAATAATAAGACGAATTTCTATTACTTAGGTTATCACTTAATATAGCATATGATGACAATAATTATTTTTAAATATTTTTAAAATATTATGACTAAATTTTAATAAATTTATTTTAAAAAATAATTTAAAAAGGACTATATTCACAGTGATAAAAATATAATTAAACTTTAACTCTTTTGAGTTATAAATCTAACTGTTTAAGAACTTTTATAATTTTAACCAATTAAAATATACTATAAATTTATATTAATTATTATAAAAATTAATAATTATTATTTATATAGACTATTTATAATTATATTTATTTTTAAATATTTAAATTCAAAATCTATTATTATTTAATTTTCTTTAACTAGAGTATATATATATATATATATATTAACAATTAAATAATATTAAGTGTTTTTAATAACATTTCATTTGATCTTTTATTGTTATTTTTTTAAAATGAGTCTTTTAAAAATTGTGTTTTTTTATTATACACTTATTTCTAATTAATTATATTTCTTTACCAATACTTCTATAACATTAATTACAACTTACTTATTGAATTAATTCTTATTCTAGATACGTATTTGGATTTTTTTTTTACTATGTGAGAATTGAAATGTCCTATTCCATTTTTGTTTAAGTTAAAATAGAGAACAAACAAAAAATTTTGTGTTCTTCATAAAATGGAAGTGGTGTAGGGAGTGAAGAATGAGAGAGTTCGAGGAAGAAAAAAGGAGTTCAGTATAGAAAGAGGAGGAGAAGGGTGAGATATAGAGGTTGAGAGGAAGTGTTAAGTATAAAGTTGAAAAAAAATATGTAAAATTCACTTAATTAACTTTAGAATTCGTTTAAGTGAAATTTACATAAATTTTTTTTGTCATTTTTCTTACTTTTGCTTAAATGGGACTGAGCGTTCAGTTCCTATTACAATTAGAGAGAGTTGTCCTACTCATCCATATCAAGAGTAGGGATGACAATGGGTAGGGCATGGATAGGGTACCACAGTATCCATCCTCATACCCGCGTTTTAAAAAAATACTCGTATTTGGCCCCATACCTGCGTGGGTATGAACATTAATCCCCGTATCCGTACCCTCTGGGTACTCGCATACCCGTCTTTTACCCATTACCCACGCTTGTTTGAGAAAAAAATATTTATAAAGAAAAATATGTTTATATAACTTCACATAACGTAGCATAATAATACAAAAATTCAATATGTAGTTGCCAAACAAGGTACAAATATAGATAAAAAATAAATATTCAAAGATCATAAATGTTAAATGTATCTTAATATAATAATTTTCTAAACTAAAATTCTTAGAAATAATAAGTAAAACTAAACACACAAGTTATTTGTCAGTGATAATCTTATCTTGTGTGAGATTTGATTGATTGATAATGTCAGAACGACAACGAAATAGATCTGTACAATGGTTGTCCCTTCGTGTGGGATCACTTAGTAACCTCTTGTGACGGCGTTAACAACTAACTCTAATGAATAACATTTCATAGTTATTAAGTTTTAGTGAGACAGACATTGAGAATGAGAATAGAGTTAGAGTTGAGAAGTTTAATACTAATAACAGAAAGTTGATACATAAAATATTTTTTTTAACTTTTGAATTTGAAATTGTAAGAAAAATAATAGATTTAATTAAAATAATATAATATAATTAATATATATATATATATATATATTAATACTAGTATTTTTTAACTCATATACTATACGAAAGTATTTTATCAAAAATATAAATTTTTGAAAAATTATTTTAGTGAATTAAATATTTATAATGTATATAAATTTTTTTAAAAAAAGAATTTGAATAAAAGATAAATAGTTATAATAAAATTTTATAATAAAAAAATATACGTGTATATTAAAAAAATTATACTTTTTTATCTTAAAAAAATTAACAAATAAAAATTAACAATAATTTTTTATATTTATATCTTTTCAAAAACTTCTTTAAATGTGAATAAATAGTAAGAATAATATTATTTAGATTCAATAGATTATAGTTGTACTTGTAATACATATGTTACATAGAAAAATATTATTTTAAATTAAAATATAAAAATAAAATTTAAATATTATTAATAAATAATAAGTTTACGGTAATAGTAGGTGATTGTAAAATTTATAAAATATTTATAATATATTTATTATTTATCATTCATTTTATGATTTAAACATTAATATGATTTTATTAACAAAAATATTTGTGTAAAAAATATTTTATGTGTGTCATATATAAATAATATTTTAAAAAAGTCAATCTCATATTAACTATGTAATAATTAAATTGTGTTAGCCTAATTAAATGATATAAAATAGTAAATAAATTTTCTATTAAAAATATAAACCAAAATAAATTTTTTGGTTTACTTTATTATTAAATATATTTTTATATTAATCTTATATAACTTCACATAAGTAATATAATAATACAAAAATTCAATGCATAATTGTAGAATAAAGTTCAAGCATATATATATATATATATATGCGGGTATGGGGCAGGGTGAGTACTTAGATACCCATACCCGCACCCATCTCCATTAAATTTTGCGAGTTTTTATCCACACCCATACCCGTATAGCGGGTAAATACCCTACCTATTATAGGTAAATTTTGCGGGTACCCATCGAGTACTTTACCCATTGTCATCCCTAATCAAGAGTAACATTTAATTCACATTTGTCACTCTAATAGTTAAGCCTTCAAAACTACATTCTCAGATTGATTGATTTTATCTATAGATGTTTGAACTTTGAAGCATAGTTTAAGTTAGTTTTTTTGGTTAAATATTGTATTTTAAAAACTAAATTATTATTTATTATATTATCTAAACTATTTTTCTATTTAGAGTGAATTTGATCACATAATAAAAGTTGTCAATATTATTAGTAAATTTTATTAAAATTTTAATTATTTTTAAATATATTTTGTCATTAAAGACGTAAAAAATTAGAAATCATATTATGGGTTAATAAATAG